ATTTTATTTGGAATAAACCGACAAAGGAAGCTTTTAACAAACAAAAAACAAAGTTACAGAAGATGTTCAAAGTGCCCTCCGTCCATTTCCAAGCAGGCACGACATCTTCGTCTCAACGATATTCGAACTCTTTCGAAAACACCCTCCTTGGTTTGGATTTCTTGACACTTTTGATTAATCCGTAGCTGCAGCTCTTCCAGGCTATTTACAGGAGTACCATACACTAATGTCTTCAAATATCCCCAAACAAAGAAATCTAGAGGGTTCAGATCAGGCGATCTTGGAGGCCATAAAACAGGTCCGGCCCTTCCTACCCATCTATGTGGAAAAGTTTGGTGTAAATGCTCTCTAACGGCCATGGAAAAATGAGCTGGAGCACCATCATGCTGGAACCACATTTGTTGCCTCTGATTCAAAGGAATGTCTTCCAAAAACTCATACAGTGTGTTCTGCAGAAAGTTGAGGTAAGCAGCGCCTGTTAATCGGTTTGGTAAAACAACAGGACCTAGAAACCTGTCACCTACAATACCCATCCAAATGTTTAATGAAAAACGTGCCTGATGTCCAGATTCTATTAGAGCATGAGGATTTTCGTCGGCCCAAATATGCGTATTGTGAAAATTAAACACTCCATTTCTTGTGAACCCGGCCTCATCAGTAAAAAGAATGTTTGCAAGAAAACGAGGGTCTTCAGCATCATGACGTAGAAACCAGCGGCAAAAAACCAAACGTGCTTGATGATCATTTATTGGATTTAAGGCCTGTACTCGTTGCACATGGTATGGATAAAGCAGTTGCTCGTGAAGGATTCTCCAAACAAGAGGACCACTAATTCCTACCTCGGCTGATATTCTCCGCACACTCGTACCTGGATTCTGCTCTACCAGTGCTAGAATTTCTTCTTCTGCTCTAGGAGTGGATACCGACCTTGGTCTTCCGGATAAATGGCACTGTTTGCTCAAGGAACCGGTATCACGCAATCTTTGGTGAATTCTTCCAAACATGCGTTGTGAAGGAATCTGGCGATTTGGATAAGCGTCAACATAAAGACGTCGCGCTTCGGTGGCGTTCCCATTAGCACGACCATACATGAAATGCATGTCTGTTAATTCTGCGTTAGAGTAACCAGCCATAGCGAAAGAAAACTTGTGCACTGAGAACAACTGTCAAATACGTACTGTTTATTTCACTAAACATCAACCAACTATTATAAGAAAATACACAACGTTTTTGCAAAATAAAAAAAGGGGCTAAAAAACATAAAACATTCCATATCTCCGCAACCGTTACTTTGCAGACCCATGTTTATTGAGACTTTTCTGCTTATTTTGGTTCATACTATTACCTCATTAAATATTTGACACTCTTTTTTTAACACCCTGTATAGCTGCCGCACTTCAAATGAAAATAATACTATTTAGATCAAGTTACCTTAGTACAATGATGCTACCTCAAAAATTACAAGCTTTCAAAAATTATGAAGATTTATAAACTAATAAAACTGAAAAATGTATGTTTTAATCAGTCTTGAAATAAGCAACCTTGCCAAATTTTCTATAGAGATAACTGATAATATGATTTCACAAAAAACCATCACACAAAAAATTTTACAATATGGCGCGCAATGGTCACCTTTATGGCATTAAGATATTCTGTACACATAAAAAAATCATCCAATCCGTACGAAACATGACTAAAATTTCGTGTCATTCGATGCTCATAAACCATAACGATGAAGAAACTAGTAGCGATTTTTTTTTTAAAGTCCGCAATATTTTCTAATGCACAGTGTCTGTATGTTGATACAGATAACTTCGTTATTTCCTAATATTAATTTTGTACGCTCTTATAAGGTTATACCGTCATACTTCTAGCAATTTTAGTTTAAAAAAATCAAAGCGCAGGTGGAGGAATGAGGAGTGGTGATACCCATCGGCATCTCCAATTTTTTCTAACACAAGTTGAAGGGACTGTATCTTAGATGAAATGATTTCTTTATTTTTTGTTCTATTGTATAACTTTCATTTAGAGCGCGTTTTGACTAAATAATAAGAATCTCTCTTTAATTCTATTATATCAACCCATATTATATGAACAACATTTGCGAGAACAAATTGCAGAAAGCACAGAGTACTTCAGGAGAAACCACAGACTTTTTAGAAAAGATGTATATATGTATATCGACCATTTACTTTAGAATTTTTAGGCTTTCATTATGATTAGAGTTATTCCGTTGTTAGTTAAACATTATTTATTATTTGTTTCTATTGTGGCTGTGTGACAAAGTTAAATAAAAAAGTGGTTATTTACTTGTGCTCATAGAAAAAGTAATGATTTATTATTTTTTGCTACAATACATTTAGATAATTCCTTAAATTAATTAATTAAGGTATAACAATGTCTATAACACAGTATAACACAGTCCTTGTCAACGCTTGTTCAGTCAACAGTTACTACAATAAAATCTTACGGGAGAAAGAAAGAATAAGAAAATAATCACTATTTTAAAATACCTTTCCACCATAGGCGTGTGTAGGAGACAATTGAAGAGAATGGGGGTTGTGGTACCCATACCACTTCACTAGTTGATTTTTTTAATAAAATTTGCTCAAAATTGTAATGGTATGACCTTATAAACGTATGCAGAATTTCAACTCAGTATTTAGAAAAACAACAGAGCTATTAATAAAAATTGATTGTAAAATATTGACCGTAATTTTAACGGACCCAATTAAAAATGAAGCTATGAAAATTTCATTATTTTTGCCCAAGTATTCTATGGTCAACGGATTAACCTACTAATTTGTAAGGCTCTGTAAAAGTTAGTGTTACAGATTAGCTTGAAGCACCAAATGTAGTTCCATTACCATCTAGACCTCCGCGCTCGTGTATGACGTAACTTCATTAGATTCATAAAGATATGGATTTACATATTTCTGAATAAATTTATATAAGTAGTCAAATAGACGTTGTGTACATCGAGTTATTTTAAAAGCCTTTGTGTAAATCATAATATACAGGGTGATTCACAACTTATCCAATAGATGTGTCATGAAAAATTGAGTAAAATCGTAAAAAAATTTTGTAAAATCCTTATAGTTCCCGAGGAAAAAAATATTGAAGTAGTAGTATTTTCAACCACAGCGTTCGAGTTGTCGCTGTTTCAAGTACCAAAAATGGCTTACGTGTACATCAACTCGGACTTGCTGGATATCATTTTAGTTTGTGGTGAAGCAAGTTATCATTTGTGTTGTGGTGAAGCACGACAACATTTGTGTTAGTTCGTAGAAACTGGGTAAAACGGGCCCAAATGTGTTTACATGTTGGTGGACAAAATTTTGAACAGTTGTAACATCAGGTGTGTCAAATTATTTTATTAATTAAAACCATCAATTAGTATAACAATAGCAGCAAAAGCAGTTGAATTTGCTGATAGGTGTTACAAAATTTTATTTATTTCCTTCCTTTAAAATTAAATTTGAAAAATTAAATTCTCAGTGAATGCATGTCAATACAACTATTTAGGTACAAAAGCAACTAATGATCGAAACTCTACAACGCCTGTTGGCTTGGGAAAAATGAATTGAAAACAGCATCTTTTTAGATAATAAATTCCCCCAACGCCAAACTAATGAAGCTTTCGGGCTGAAATTTTTACCACTTATTAAGGGTGCAAAGAGCTTCAAAAATTCTGAATTACAAGTGTCTGCGATGAAAATGAAAACGGCAATTTTCGACCATTCCTGCGTTCTCGCGCATAAACAAATTATCGGAATTTAATAGGACTTGTCTCATTTTACAGGTTTATTTAATGCCTACCTTCTTTTGTATTTTCGCTATGAATAACAGTTTTTCTACGCGAGTCAAAAACCCACTCTTCATAATTTGACCATTGTTTAAATAAAGTTTCCCAACTAGTCTCGAGTTGATTTTTTGATATTTTGTTTATAACACGTTTCCGAGCAAAATATTTCGCAGAGAAACTTCTAATAGTATTTTTTTTCCCGAAAAAAAAACTATAATGATTGGATTATAGTCTTTCTATAGGAATTTATATGTCTGTTCTCTATTTATCTGTTCCTTATTAACATTATTAAATTATCTACCGTGATGACCAATATATTTTCTTCAGTTCTATTGGCGAAAACGTGCTCTTGTGCCGATATGTTCAGTGTTGTGCAATTTTTATCTATTTGTGTTATAGCCCTAAGAATAGTTATTTTTGTAGCTAGTGCGCGAAATGCTACTTTGGTGATCGAGAATTGAATTTTTTAACGAGGCGAAGCCGAGTTAAAAAATTATTCGAGATCACCAAAGTAATTCGCGCACGAGATGCAAACAATATTTTTTCTACAAACGTCAAAATCTATATCTTAAAAATATTATAAATAAGTAAAATGACTAATTTATTATAGAAAATAGTGTTGAGCTGGCTTAAAATGTCTTTCCTAATCAAATTTTCACTGTTACTATGGAAACAAAGTGGCTGTTGTTGACAACAATAATAATTATTTTAAATATTGAAATACAAAACTCTTATTAATTTACATGCAGTGTGCGAAATACTTCGCACCCTAGTGCGCGAAGTATTTCGCGCACGGTGTCATGGTAACGTAAGAATCCGAAAAAAAGTGTCACTTCGCATATTGTTGTCAATGCGCAAACCTTGTCATTTTTTGACGTTTGTAGAAAAATATCTTTCTCATTTTTTTCTGCGCCATATATTTTCTTTTGCAAATGTTTAGGTGTAACTTCCTTTTTTATGTTAATGGTGTCCTAGTTAATAAGTTGATATCTTCTAAGTCCTTTTCGGACTGTTCTTTTACTCCAAAGGCATTGAATAGACTTTTCGACTTGAGTTTTGATTTGATTTGAGTCTCCCTTTGTACTACTGTTGAAGATAATTCATGTTTTTCCATTTGGGGCATTTTTTCGTTGTCCAATGATGACTTATTCATGTTTCTATTTTCCTTCCTCTAAATGTAATGCTTTATATTTACTTATTCCGAACTCCAAGCGGATATCTTTTGATATTATTTCTGTTATTTCCAACAGTCCCTGGAACTGTGTTTTTGTAGGTGTGAATATTTTTATGTCATCCATATGGATTAAGTGGTTTGCTGTAGATAGTGTCACTCCTTTTTGTTTAACTCGATATCCATATTGAGTATTATTAATGGCATTTCAGAAAATATTATTATTATTATTATTATTATTATTATTAACGACACTATGATAGATGTATATATTATTATTATTATTATTATTATATTATTT